AAAAAAAAAAAAAAAAAAAAAAAAAAAAAAGAAGATAGTAAGCAGTAAGATCAACCCAGCAGAGTTGGTGAGAGATCGGCAGTGATCGATAATTTCTTCTATAGAAGAAAATAAGGGGTGGGGGTCTCAGCAAGCCCCAGGTCATGCACCCCCATAATATGAGACTTGGCTCTTGGGGACCTCAGCATCTCTGAACCTCCTCAGCTGCTGCCCTCCCTCGGGCCGATCTTCCGGTGATGAAAGTGGGCGGTCTCTGCTTCACATCTGCTGCTCATCTCCAGCCTCTTCATTTGTCTGCTCTCTTCAACCACCGCAGAAGTATCTGAGCGAAACAGCAGAAGACGGGGTATGTGGAGGTTTTTATTTCAACCTTTTTGAGCCCTTGTATTTTTTCAGTGCTGAAAAACTAATTAAAAAAAACATCTGGAGGGCCTTCTTTATAAAATTATCATTGAATTCGTGTCTTCTTTTGAGCTCAAGTTATGCACACTTGAAAGGTCCATAACCATTTTTAATGTCACTTCAAATTTTGTAGTTTAAACCACAAGTGTATGTTACCGCAGTCTGTTTGACATGCACTACCTTTCACATCTTACATACAAAACCCCCCAAAACAAAACATGTTACATGTGTTTACACCTTTATAAACAAACAGCTAAGTGATCTCATACTTAAAACCTGAGGAAACACCCCATTTATTCAATCCATTGTGGATTGTAAATATATGCGAGTACAACAACATTCTAGAGTACTCTAGTTGTAACTGTAATTGTAACATAGGTACATATTTTTTGCAAGTACTTGACTCAGTCTAGTAGATATCAAAAATCTCAAACACATCCCTCTATGCTTCATCAGGCTCGGTATTTTACCAAAATAACAGATACTAAAACTAACGAGAACTTCTCAATATTTTTTCCTTTCTTTTCTTTCCAAGGTCACAAAATAATTTGTAACTAAAATGTTTTTTTCACATCTAGTTTTAGTTTTCTCTTAGAAAAGCTGTGAGAGAGATAAAGGTTATCTTATCTTAAAAGAAACTTAAAATGGATGTGAAATGTGTAAAAATGAAGCAACATGTTAGCAGCTGCACTGTCAACAGTAATGTCAGCGAACTAGTAAGCCCTCGCAGTGACAGCAAGCTGCTGTTATTAGGATTAGCTGAGAAAAGGTGCAGGAGGAGGAATCACATTTTCAACAACAGCGTGAGGAACAGACAGAGGAAAATAGAATCAAAGTGGTAGGAAAATAGATAGAGACATATTTAAGAACGGAGCAATTCAAGTAAACGAACGACTATTTTAATCATGAGCAGCTTCTAATAGCGAAAGTGTAACTTATAAGTATCACATGCTGCGCTGGAGTGAAACTAAGATGTCCTAACTGAACAATAACTGTACTAACCTGATAAAAAAGAAACTTCAGTATCAATAATCAAAAAATTTGAAACATATAGGGAGAGAGCACAGAGCAAAGAACTGATTGTACTGGACGAGAAATACCAGGGACGATTTTTTTTGTGTCCCATTCCAGACATGTCTGTCACTTTGCTGCAGAAACTCTCTGATGTGACTATATCCTATCATTCATACTTGCTCAGAAATCATTGCGTGTCCATCTTATTAACAGATCCAAGACTAATATTGCCACAGATATCAATATAATAGTGCTTCTAAAAAGTTGCATTTACAACAAATCTCTAGAGGAAAGAGGACAAACAGGAACTAGAATACAGTCAGAACAATGTGTAATAAAAGCTTTTGTGTAGCTGAAGGATTACATGGAGCCAGAATAAGACGATATGGAGCATTTCACTCACTAAGGTTAGCTTGACACAGAAGTAGCAGTCTTAAAAATATCCATTACACAAGGCTGACAAATCTTCAACTGAGGTAAATAACTGAGATTAAAACAGTTGAAAATGAACTCCTGAGAATTTTCTGTATTTATGTAGATTCCATCATATTGAGAAGCCAATTAAGCAGACAAGGCAAAAAAAACCCAAAAACTTTATTATTATTAATATTTATTTTGGAAAGGGATCCAGTATTACATTAATATGTCTATTCGTACTTCTAGTGTCTGGCATACAGCTTTTATCAGAATCAGCATACTTTATTAATCCATAAATTAATTAATCCCTGCATGTTATGTGAACATTTCCGGTATACACAATATATACACAGCTTGAGAATATGTCCAGTGTCAGTGGTGACATAACTGCACAAACTACATATGAAATATGTAACTTCCACTGAAACCAGTGATACTTTGACTTTTCACATGTCTTCTGCTGCAGAGCTCTCAGAGATAATTCGTATCTGCATGCAATGGAGGAAATATATTTGAAACCTGATAACCCAACATCTTCAACAAATCACAGGGGTAAGAAAGAAGTGACAGAAACAGGAAGAGGTTTGTTCATATCTCTTATTACTCTTGTATATTTTGGGGGATTTTCAGATTCCTGGTTTTTCCCCCCTTTTCTCTTTTCAGGTCAAAGGAGCTCTAAGAGGAGTTTCTGTTTAGTTAGTATTCTCTCTCTTTGCCTGTTGGGTGCTTTCCTGCTGGCTAGACTGATCACTTTTGGTATTTACTGTGAGTTGGATTGTTCATCAATATTTCTTCTACTTTACTGTCCCAAAATAATAAATAGTTTTCTAATGAAATTCAACTGAAATTTAACAAACATGGTAACATTCAAATCAAGGAAGTCTCACAAGTTCAAAATTTATAAATAATTTTAAGAAGACAAGATCACAGTAATAATGGTTCTTTATTCACATGCCAGTATAAAACTGACAAACATATTTAACATGGTTTAAAGGAAAACTTTTTGTTTAACTCTAAAATACATCTGAAACAGTCTCAGGATGAATGCATGAGGTCTTTTGAGTTTCAAATATATGAATATTTATCTTTATTTCAGATCATAACTGCTTACATGATTCAGCTGATCATCTGCCAGAAATAAAGAAACAACTTTCTTCAATGACTGAGGAGAGAGACCTGCTGACTGAAAAGACCAAAGAGCTGAAAACGCTGCTATGTTTGTCCAATCAGTGTGAGTTGTATGAAAGTTTTTGTCTTTGTAAAAAGCTTTAGACGGGAATTCAGTGATTCAGTTTCCTAGCAAATTTTTTCTGCTTAACATAAATTACTATTGGGAATCATTATTAATATGTATTTATATGAACAACTGTCAATACCTTTGCATCTATGCTTTTCAACATATAGCTTAATTGCATTTGTGCATCTTATACTCATTACAAATTCACATTTATAAGGAAGTTATGACTGAACAAAATGACTGTACCGTCATTATTTAGTAATTTCAAAACTTTATGAATCCAAAATAGAACTTAATATTTGTTAATGAATTTTATTAATTTTTAATCAAGTTTTCATGTGCAAACTTTCATTGTAGCAAAACAACATTTAACAAATACAACGAGCATTAAACCCCAGAAAGTTGATTCTGTTCATCTGGATGTAGCGTTTTAGTGGGAGAATCTTTTTGTCACTGATCCAAGTGACTTCTGCTTCAGTCTCAGCTGATTGCAGGTTTCCCCAGCTTTGTCAATAATGACCTGAACTAGTGCCACTGATTAAAAATGGGCCTTCGGGTCAGGTTCATGTTCATTAATATGCAACTTGTAATGACCATTGATCAGTGAGCACAAAAGAAAGCTAAAGTGTTTGTGTTAGGTGCCAGTCCTCTTACTCCTGTATTTTCTCCTTTTTAACTCTATATCTTTAAAACTGTTAACTATTCAGTTGCTCATCTATTTGGTGATGATTTGTGTTTCAGTAAGGATGCATCTATTCACTATCATATCTCTTTTGAACTACATGTTTCACCTTTCATCAGTTTTGCCCAGTTATTAGACGTTTTCAGTTGTTGCTGTATCTTAAATTCATTTGTGGTAGGTAGGTTTAATCACATCACACAAAGATTTATCAGGCTTTTACCCTTGTAGTTCACTGACATATGGAAACTGGCAATTTTAGTATGTAACAGTGTCAGTGTGGAAAGTCAGGGTTGCACGAATTAGGAAAAACTTTACCCTCATTTAGTCTCAAACTTTAAAGCAATAAAGTTTGAGTGAAATTAGCACTTTCTTTATTTGAACTCTATAAAATTTTAAATTATTAAATATAATAAATTATTATTATTATTTATTATAAACATTATATATATTTTAAATATGCATATAATTTCCCGATGACAGAAAAAGATTGACATATTACAATAGATTTCTATACTGACAATTTTGACATCAGCACAAACGTTCTATTAAATTAACTTAGATACCATTACTGGAGATTTCTTGGACTTTTCTTTTTGGACTGTGGGAGGAAACTGGATTACCTAGAAAGAACCAATGCAGGCTCAGGGACAACATACAAACTTCACACAGGTCTTGGGCAGATGTCTGGATTTGAGACCAGGACCTTCTTGCCCTGAGGAAAAAGTGCAAGACACCACCATGCTGCTCAGGGCAGGTTAAATCCTGCAGGGACCATATCATCAGCGACGTGGTCACTCCAGCCAAGACCATAACATTTTAGTGGGAGAAAATAGGTCACAGCACATTTTTTTTGGTAAACAAAACAAGTTCACTTCATCTTTTGAATCCTCAGCAGGAAATGTGTCCCACACACTTTGTTTTTAGAATAACTTATGGGAGTGGAACTGTTCTCTGTTAATATAAAATAAATTGGGTATTAAAACTGTCACCATGTTAAATACAAGCAGACAAATATAACAGTCAGTAAGTGAATAGACTGTGCAAAGATCTTTGTGACCAAGACTTTGGAGGATTGAAATTAAATAGAGATTGAATGAGCATCATTATAGAGTTCTTAAAGGATCTTTCCTTCCTGCAGACAAAACATGTCCTGTAGGATGGAGCAAGTTCAATCATAGATGCTATCTCCAATCGGAAAGGTCTGATTCGTGGGATGCAGCCAGAAAGAACTGTACAGACGAAGAAGCCGATCTGATAGTCATTGACAGCCCTGAAGAAGAGGTACAGTGTGTTATTGTGTTTGTAAATAAACACAATAGTTCAAATTCTTATTTTTATTTATTTATTTATTTTTTCTTCCTAAAAGTGTTTATTATGAGCATTTGAGCATTTAATCAACACATATCTAAACACAAAAACCTGAAATAACTGTAATTCTGTCTCAGTGTAGAAAACAACTAACAGACATTTTCTATGGTTCTATATGGAATTTGTCTTAGCTGAATAGTTTCATTCTTCAAAAACTTTGATGAACATGTGAATTTTAAGACATATTTATAGAACTAAAGTGTATATATTATATGGGTCCTTATTTAAAGAAAGAATAATGAAATGTGGTGGTTTAGCAAAGATAGGAAAAACAGAATATTATAAAATGCTAAAGAATGCAGGGGATGCAGCATACAAAGGTTCTTCCACTGTTACTTTGCAAGAGAGCAGTTACTACCAGGCGGATGGGAGTCTGTAGCCAAAGTGCCGGAGCGGCAGAAAGTCAAGGGATTTGAAGCATTGTTTTGCATGGTAAATGATGTCAGACAACTTTTGTGCCACGGATTAGCAAGTCAGTGGTGTCACTTAATAAGTCATGACAGTGACTCTTCTGCAGTAATCAAAACAGCCGTTTTTGAAACTTGGCAACGATGGAAATGACTGTACAAAAACCAACACCGTGGTCCCAGAGTCTGACAAAAAGCAATAGACCAAGCACCTGGTATACTATCACCTTGACATCCTCTAATGTTGTGTTGTGTTGCATACAAATGCAGCACTGCTATACAACCTCACTAATATTAGGGTGGTACTCAGTCCAGTTTTTGTGTGGCGTCAGAACTACTGGGACATCCCTGCCTGGAGGGGAAAACAATACAGGAACGATTTAACTGAAACTAGAAACAACTTGGTAAACTTTACTGTGTGATGCAATATTAATGTGACAATTTAATACCTTTTCTGGTCCTACAGTGTAAATAACCAGATAATTAAAAAGATAAGATTTGCGTGTGGTAATTCATTTAAGTTAGCAATGTAGTGCTTACCTTCGCTTTAACCATGAACAATTTCTTGTTCTTCACTTCCCACAATGCGGCATTATTTACCCATCCAGATTGTATATCACAGAATAAAACTGGTTCAAAACTAAAATAAAATGTTTTATCCTCATGTTAAACAGACTTTCCTCTCTACAATCATCAATGAACAAACTTGGATTGGTTTGAATGACAAAGAACAGGAGGGAACATGGAAATGGGTAGATGGTACTCCACCGACTCTGATGTAAGTCTTCACTTTGGTTCAGTTTGTTACTCTAATTACATTTCAAAATCAAATTTGTTGAATCCACAGATGCATGCAGAATTGACAAGAAATGAAGTAATAAGATAATGTTGTTGTGACTGACCTGCTAGGTACTGGGCATCGAGTCAACCTGATGATGGTGGAGATGAGGACTGTGCTTATGTCAGGAATCACGGCAAAAATTCTTGGATGGATTTTCGATGTTCAGCTTCTTTTCATTGGATCTGTGAAAAAACACTAAACTGCAGTACAGTTTACTGACAATGATCTATTAATAAATGTTTTGCAGGTTTTTTCTATCATTCTATTTTAAGTTTAGTCTGTTTTATTCTGTTATACTTTCAAATGTATACCATACGTGCATCTACTGGGAGGCTAAGGGGTAGCACTGGCAGCTGCCAGTATTTTTATTCTAGTGTTTACAGTGTTGATTTTTGTGTTTCTTGAATTTTTGAATTGTATTTTTATTTAATTGCCATTGCTTTATTTTCTGTGATAAAATAATAATTATTATCATTATTGAGTCTCAAGAGAATAGATTTTGCACAGATCTTTGTGATTAAGCCATTGGAGCAGTCCAGTTTATAGCTAGCTTAAATATATTGTTTGTAATTTCTTGTAGAAAATACATGTTCTGGAGGATGGAGCAAATTCAACTGTAGCTGCTATATCCGGTCTCAAAGCTCTGGTTCCTGGGATGCAGCCAGAAAGGACTGCAGAGACAGAGGAGCAGACCTGGTGGTTGTTGACAGCCCTGAAAAACAGGTACTGTGTTTATGCCTGTCTGACTTATTGTGTTTGTAAATTATTACTGAAATTCAAGCTCCTTATTTTACATAACTAATGTTGCCCATATGCACATGAAAACTATTCAACACATATATGAGATCAGATCATAAACATAAAAGTTTATGATCTGATCAAAGTTGTTCTGTGGGAAAAAACTCATATGACCACATAGTTTTCTGTGATTGTGAAAGTGACTTAATGGAACCTTCAATTTAAAAAGTGTTACCACAATTAGGATGAAATCAAAGAAGATGAATATGAGGATTTTAAATCAAATTTATTGTACCACAATGACTCAGAGAAATATACACAGTCAAAAACATTATGGGGGAAATAACCTGTCAATGGAGAAATAAGAAAGCATGGTGGTGTATAAAGAAAAAGTAAATCAGAATATAGGAGGATACTGAAGAATGCAGGGAATGCAGTCAGTGGACCTTTAAGAGTCCACTGACAGAACATAATACCATTTAACCAGTCTTTTGTAGACAGTGTCAAAAGATTTTGGTGGCAATGACTTATTACATGTTAAAGAAAAACAGACAAATGAATTAAAAGTTTTGAATGTGTTACAGCAAAAAGTGCATTGACTAAAATTGTGGTTCAAAACTAATATAAATTGCTTTTACTTCATATGAAAAAGACCTTTCTCTCTACGATCACCACAAAAAGAGTTTGGCTTGGTTTGACTGACGAAGAACAGGAGGGAACATGGAAATGGGTGGATGGAACTCCACTGACTCTGTCGTAAGTCTTTACTTTGGTTCAGTTTGTTACTTTCATTAAGTTTCCAAAAGAAATGTGTTAAACATATACACACTACTGGTCAAAAGCCTGGACACACCTTTTCATTTAATGGCTTTTCTTTATTTTTGCTACTTTCTACATTGTAGAAACATACTGAAGACATCAAATATATGAAGCAAGATACATGGAATTATGTAGCAAAGAAAAAAATTGATCAATAACTCTTCTTCTTACATTTTAGATTCCTTAAAGTAGCCACCCTTTGTTGTATTGACAGTGCTGTAAACCCTTGGCCTTCTCTCATAGGAACTTCATGATGTAATCACCTGAAATGGTTTTCACTTCACAGGTGTGTCTTGTCAGGTTTCATTTAGGGTTCTTAATGGGGTTGGGACTGAATCTAATTGAAATGGTTTGGGATGAGATGCACCACAGAGTGAAGGCAAAAGGCCAACAAGTGCTCAGCATCTCTGGGAACTCTTTCAAGACTGTTCAAAAAAAAAACATTTCAGGTGACGACCTCATGAAGCTCACCGAGAGAATGCCATGAGTGTGCAAAGCAGTAATCAAAGCAAAGAATCTGAGTTTTTTCACAATTTATTGTTTACTACATAATTCCATATGTGTTCATTCATAGTTTTGATGCCTTCAGTGAGACTCTACAATGTACAATAGTTGTGAAAATAAAGAAAACCATTAAACTTTTGACTGTTAGTGTACAAAACACACTGGTGAACTTACATTTCAGTGGGTTGAGCCAAACTGCAAGGTCAAAAGCTTAAAATGTACACTAATGACTTATTTAGACAACATAGGTTAGAAGTTGCTATATCAACTATGACGTCTTGTTATCATCTCCATATGAAACTTTGTTATCTTAAAAAAGCCCTGTCACTACACACCAAACATCTGATTTTTCTTTCAATAATAAAAACAACCTAATATTATGGTTTTGGACTAACTAGGTACTGGGGATCGACTCAACCTGATAATGGTGGAGAAGAGGACTGTGCTCATGTCTACAGTGGTGAGGACATGAGCATGAATGACCGTTCATGCTCAACTTCTCTTAAATGGATCTGTGAAAAAGCACCAGACTACTGTATCATTTCTTGAAGATTTTTTACTTGTTACTTCAGTGGAGACTTTTAGAGAGAAATGATCAAACACCAGCATAGCTGAATATGTGTTTCAATTTGGGGTTTCTCTTTGGTTTTTATTGCAGTGTTTTAAAGTTTAGATTTTTGTGTTTGTTAACAAAGTATACTAACTTTGTGTTAGTCAAATGTTACATGAAAATGGACAATGAGACAAAACCTTTTGAGCATGCAATTTATTGAAAACAAAGCTTATACTGAAACAGGCTTTTTTACAGCTGATCTAAAGTTTAGGACCACACCTCCAAAAAAAAATCTGTAAACACCACAAAACAGAAATCAAAGTTCCAAACATGAACTCAGTAATGAGTAGCTCCACCGTTATTGTTGATCAATTCAAAAATTCATTGTGGAATGCTTGATACAAGCTTTTCCACGAGGTGAGTGGGAACACTTGATGGTTGCACAAAGGGCATCCTTCCCCAAAGGTTCTCAACTGGATTTAGATCAGGGAAACACACAGGATGGTTCAAAACAGTGATGTTATTCTCCAGGAAAAAGTCCCTTGTCCTGCAGGCATTGTGTACTGTAGCATTGTCCTGTTGAAAAACCCAGTCGTTACCACAAAGATGAGGGCCCTCAGTCATGAGGGATGCTCTCTGCAACATCTGGACATAGCCAGAGGCCACTGAAGGAAAAAGCATCCCCCGCCACTGTGGCGCGTAGAAAACATCTCAGGTGGGATCTGCTTGTCATGCCAGTAACGTTGGAAATCATCAGGACCATCAAGGTTAAATTTTTTATCAGAGAATACAACTTTCTTCCACCTTTCAATATCCCATGTTTGGTGCTCTCTTGCAAAGTCCAAATGGTCAGTTCTGTGGCATTCAAGGAGATGAGGCCTTTAGCGACATTTTTTGTTTTTGAAGTCCTTCAGTCTCAGATGCTGTCTGATGGTTATGGGGCTGCAGTCGGTAGTGATGGCGCGCTTGAAGCTGAAGCTCCGGTGCGTGTGTCAAAAAAAATCAACACACTGCTTCAGAAGCACTGTGTCGAAGCTTGATTCGTTTGGCCAGAGTCACGTGATCAGTGACGTCCGAAGCTTCATTTAGAACCTAACTGCTTCGGTATCTGAGTCAATGGTTTATAAGCAAATGAATCATTCGCGGGATTTGTGGAGCGTTTTGATGGTGACAGATAGCAAACCACTGATAATTCCACTGAAAGATTTGGACCCAGCGAGGAATAGAGGAGGTTCTGTTGTGTGGGAGAATTTTGAGTTGATTTTTGTCAATCGGGTGGGTTTTCCAGCTTTGTGTTCTGGCCGTTTGCTTTTGTTTTGTGCACGTTTATTTTATCTGAAAACTGGAAAAAAGTAAAATGTCAAAAATCTGCTTCCATAATGTAAATATCATTAAATAACTTTAGAAAAACTTCCACTTGACTCTTTACATTTAATGTTATAAAAAAATATATTAATCTGAAAATGTTAGTCTGCCAAATGTGCAGCAATTTAATTGATTTATTCTCTTTAGCTGATAGTTTGTGGGGCCCAGGTAGACTGTATAACTGCATCTCTACCAGTTTCTGTGCACTCCAGCCTCCTCTGTGCCATGTAAAGGGATTTTCCTTAAGGCAGGAGAAATTATCTCCACGAAAAGGAACAGGTTCGGCCATCGCACAGTGGAACAAATTTTCTTCTTAAATACAAATGGAAAAGGGTTACCTTAAATGCATCATGTTTTTAATTTGCAAGTTCATAAGCATTTTCCCCTTCCAGTTCACAATCAATTCTACCCCCAGGTCAAAAATATGTCTTGGAAAATTTCCCTAATGTAATATTATTTATAAATACACCCGTCTAGCGATTAATTGCATAAGTACATGGAGGCAGGACCTCACAGCAGAAGCCTACTCCATAATGTGTTGTACATTATTATATGTATATTATATGTAATGTGGTATTTTTCAATTATTGTATTTACCAACATCAAGAAATCACAAGCAAAGAAAGACCACACCATGGTGCATATTTAAACAAGGAGAGTTTATTGGTCAAAATTATTTATTAAACAAATAAAACACATTTTTTTTAACCACCAAAGAATACACGTTCAAAGCAACACAGCAGTGGCCCAATATCAGACAGAATTCCACACTGTAGAGTGGGCAATGATAATGAAGCAGTTGGTTTTCTTTTGTGGATTCAAGCTGCTCTTCTTATTTTTGGCCACCAGATGTCACCAGAGAGGACTGTGTTGAAAAGCTCCGAGTAATGAACCGTTTTTCAATACAAGCTTCAATGCTTCAGAAAGCTTCATTTGGCCATCACTAGCAGTCGGCACCAATAACAGCTTTAATTTGGGTCGAGGATCGTCCAATTGTCATGAACCGTGTGTGGCAGGCAGGATTGTACCCAAACGCAGACTCACAAACAGGATTTGAACACAAAAACTCAGCTTTATTGCTGGCACAAGTTAATACAAAAATTAAACTGGAAATCTAGAAATGGAACTATGAACAGGACGCACAGCCAGGTATGAGGGAGACACTGACATAAATACACAGAAGGATAACGTGGGAAGTGAGAACACACAGGGACTACAGCTGACGTGAATTAACATGACGCCACAGGGGAAGCAAAACTAGACATACCAAACATGGAAACACGAGACCTTCATAATAAAACAGGAAACGGAGGAACATGGTACAGGAGTGGAGGAAAGACAGACAAGAGAGACAGAGGGAGCACGAAGGAGCACAAGGGAGAGAGAAAGGAAACGAGAGAGACATGATAGACTGGGCAAACATGGATAAACATGACAAGCAGGGGGGAACAGAATGAAACACGAGGAGGGAAACAAAACACAAGAACTCACACAACAAATATAAACATAGAGACATAGAGAGACATAAAGGGCAAAGACACGAGGGAATCTAATAGTCGAATAATAGTAATTTAGAATAATAATAATAATAATAAAAAGATAAACAGAAAAACCTGGGCACTACAGAATAAACTCAAGACTAACAAAATGGACTTAAATCATAATACAAAATGACATCAAAACACAAGAAAACTCAAAATGCTGGATCAGTGACCCAGGACCATGACACCAGTGTCTTGACAGACAGCCAACTTAATCTGCCGGCTCAGTGCTGGTGAAATTTTTGGGGGTCTTTAACTTGACTTTTTTGTTCCATAACCCTCAATCTTTAAAGAAATTCCAAATGACTTTCTTACTGCGTTCCACCTCAGCAGCATGAGACCTTGAACTTTTCTTCAATGATCTCTTTTTAATTTTCTTACTCTTGATTACATTTCAGACCCAGTACTTTTTCAGTTTTATACTCAGTATAAATACATATGAATTGCATATTTAAATTCCATTATATTTTGTCTATACAGTGTTTATTCGATTGCTTAAAAGTGTAAAAGAAAATTAACTGCAATATATTTAGATTTTTTTTTGCAGTGGGAGGGGTTTTACACTGATTTGTAATATTTTATACCAATGTGATGAATCTCATCTTCTATCTATGAAGCTCTTGGTAAATGCGTTTTAAAAACTGCTATGCAAATAAAGTTATGTTTTATTGTTATTATTTTTATTATAGTATAGAGACGCAAAATGAGTACCCAAGCATTCACAGGAGGATTAGTGAGAATCTCTCAATTTCTGAAATGAAGGGGAAATGAAGAGGCAAAGAAAATATGATGAACGAATTGGCGGAGCTCCTGAGAGCAGTTGAAGAGGAACAAAAGAAAATGAAAGCAAACAAAGCAATTGAAAAGGCAAAGGCTTACTTAGGGCAAGTCCAGAGAGAATTTACAGAAGGCAAAGAAGGAAAGTGAAATAGCAAAGAGCAAATTGTTGCATCATTTTAGGATGACAGTTAGGATACTGATTGTCTGATCCCTGCTTGCCTCTAGCAATCGTGGGATTAGATATTAGAATTAAGTGTTTAGGGTCAGCATCATGTGTCTTACTACCAATTGTGCTCTTCAAAGGAGGCTTGCTTCAGACTAGGTTTTTCTGTCAATCCACTTTTTTAACAGATAAAAGGAAAAAAAAACCTGACTGCTTCGGTAATATCAGTTTGCCAAACACATGGAGTTGTATGGATGTAAACACAATGGTGGAAGAAGATGGGTGGATGGATACTCTAGGAACAACAAGTAAGCCTGGAGTATGAGAGCGAAGTGATATGGTACTATAAGGTCATTAAGATAAGATGAGGCCTGATTATTTAAGACCTTAAGACCTTCTGGATTTAACAGGGAGCCAGTGAAGGGAAGCCAATATAGGAGAAATATGCTCTCTCTTTCTAGTCCCTGTCAGTACTCTTGCTGCAGCATTTAGGATTAGCTGAAGCCTTTTCAGGGAGTTTTTAGGACTTCCTGATAATAATGAATCACAGTAGTCCAGCCTGGAAGCAATAAATGTATGAACTAGTTTTTCAACGTCACTCTGAGACAGGATATTTCTCAGTTTAGAAGTATTGCGTAAATGGAAGAAAGCAGTCTTACATATTTGTTTAATATGTGCATTGAAGGACATATCCTGGTCAGAAATGACTCCAAGGTTCCTCACAGTGTTACTGGAGGCCAAAGTAATGTCATCCAGAGTACAAATCTGGTTAGACACAATATTTTTAAGATTTTCGGGGTACAATAACCTCAGTTTTATCTGAATTAAGAAGGAGAAAAGTAGAGGTAAATCAGGTTTTTAAGTCTTTAAGACATTCCTGCAGTTTAACTAATTAGTGTGTGTTATCTGGCTTCATGGATAGATAGAGTTGGGTGTCATCTGCATATCAGTATGCTATGCCTTCTGATGATACTGCCTAAGGGAAGCATGTATAATGTAAACAGAATTGGTCCTAGCACGGAACCCTGTGGAACACCATAATTAACCTTAGTGTAGAAGAGGACTCTCCGTTTACATGATGGAGACTGTTAGACAGATATGATACAAACTGTTGCAGCGCAGTACCTGTAATACCTGCAGCGTGCTCTAATTACTCTGATAGGATATTATGGTCAACAGTATTGAACGCTGCACTGAGGTCTAGCAGGACAAACACAGAGATGAGTCCACTGTCAGAGGCTATAAGAAGATTATTTGTAACCTTCACTAAAGCTGTTTCTGTGCTGTGATGAGCTCTGAAATCTGACTAAAACTCTTCAAATAAGCCATTCCTCTTCAGATGATCTGTAGCTGTTTGACAACTACTCTTTCAAGGATTTTTGAAAAGAAAGGAAAGTTGGAGATTAGCCTTTAATTAGCTAAGACCCCTGGGTTAAGTGATGGCTTTTTAGGTAACAGTTTAACTACTGCCAGCTTAAAGGCCCATAGCCAATTATTAGAGATAGGTTGATCATATTTAAGATTGAAGCATTAATTAATGGTAGAACCTTTTTGAGCAGTTTTGTAGGAATGGGGTCTAAAAGACACGTTGATGGTTTGGAGGAAGTAATTACTGAAGTTAACTCAGAAAGATCAATTGGAGAAAAAGACTCTAAATGAATATCAATGGTACTATAGCTGTAGATAAAATTACATCTGTGAGACGATTATGACTATTTTTTTCTGAAATGGTTAAAATTTTATTTGTGTAGAAGTTCATGATTTCATTACTAGTTAACGTTTAAGGAATGGTTGGCTCAACAGAGCTCTGACTTGTTGTCAGCCTGGATACACTGCTGAAGAGAAACCTAGGGTTGTTCTTATTTTGTTCAATCAATGATGAATAGTAAGATGTTCTCAATTTACGGAATTTTTTCTTACAAAGCAGCAAACTAATTCTCCAGGCTAAATGATGCTCATCTAAATTTGTGTTACACCATTTCCTCTCCAGCTTAAGAGTTATCTGCTTTAAGGTGCACGTTTGAGAGTTATATCAGGGAGTTAAGTACTCCTGATTTGATTTAATTTTAATTTGGCAGCACTCTTTTGACCAGTTGGAATTACTTTTAGTGATAGATAAATAAATAAAGTGAATAAAATCTTTTAATATTACTTAATGTGTCCTCCTCTGTTATTTTGACTGCTGACAGCGTTCAAAGTACAGAGGATGACGACGGGCTTAAGGGAAACAGCAAGCTGATAAAACCCTGAACATGATATGATAATAATCACATGTAACAATATTTAACAGATAGCAACATAGCACATAGTTTCCTGGCAATAGCCAACCATACTTTGATAACAAGCATGCACACAGTTTAAACAAAATACACAGTAAAATCACATTATGCAACAACATCTCTGCACTACTTGAGTTACAACATACAGTCGTTACAAAAAAAGTTCACAGGGGTGATATGAAGTCCTGTAAAAAATTTAGTAGACACTAAAATT